AAAGATTATTCATCCAAGGGTTCTTCCCTGCTGCTCATAATCCATCTATTTTTGGCACAGTTTCAATTTTTAGAAAATAAATAAGTTGATATAGAAAAAAAGTCAAACCCTGAGCTGTGTGAGGTATACGAGTGCGTTCAGGAGTCCACACCCGCAAAAATAATCATTATATTTATTTATCCGGGTCAGCTGAGTTACTCATTAAGTATTATGCTGGGGTGGAATTAGTGTGTGTGTGTGTGTGATTTTTCTTAGCAGATGAATGGGATGCTACTGTCATCCTTAAAACTCCTCTGCTGATGAATGATGGCTTTGATGGATGTCACAGCGATGATAATGTCTTTCTTGTGTCACCTCCTTATCCATTCCTCCAGAACAAATCCATCAGCATGTGTGTGTGTGTGTGTGTGTGTGTGTGTGTGGCGGGATTTATCTGTGTTTACGCAACAGCTCCCATTAAGCTTGTTACTGAGGAACATAACGTCAGTGTACAGACACATGACTGATAATTCATATTTCATAATCTGGCAGGAGCGGTGCGTACAGACGGATGCAATCGCGGTTTAAGTGTTTTATTAGAAAGGCAGGCAGAAAAATCCAAAACGTGAATCTCACACAGAGCCGGGAAACAGGCAGAGGTTGGGCGATTTGCGATCAACTAGTATCAGGTAATCCAAAGAGCACAAAACAAGGGAACAGAGCAAAATCAAGAACCGGGAAATCAGCACATGAAACGAAAGCTCGGTAAAGACAGAAGACAGAACGCTGAACGTTACTTCACACAGGACGAAGACACGCAGGGGGGTTAACTATACAAACTAATCAAAGGTAAACTGAAAATAGGTGTGAGTAAGAGAGACACATGAGGGAGACAACCAGTGACAGGACATAAACCAAAACTATACACGTTGCAAAGCAAATAAAACATGACAACATGGAAGTGATTATTATTATTATTATTATTATTATTATTATTATTATTATTATTATTATTTTCAATTCAGTTCGATTTGTATAGCACTTTTAATGGACATTGTCACAAAGCAGCTTTATGGAAATAAATGGATTCACAAGAAATATATTGTAAATATGTGAATTTATCCCTATTATAAGTAAGGGTGAAATGCAATGCCACTATCTGTCTGTTCAGTGTGCTAAATATCCATATCTGTATTTGGTTTTAAACCCGAAATGAGCAAATTATGGACAAATGGACAAATATTTTTAGCCGTTTGTGAAACTCTCATTAAAACTGAATGCCCTTTTCTCACACCATTTACTTATTTTATTTCATCTACAGCAAAAAGTTACTTTCTCCTCCAGGTCATTATACTAATGCATACATAATGAAGCTTTGAGTCTTTCCATTTTTGTAAATAAAATGTGGATGTTGACTGGCCA